CACTCTGGGCATGTGTGCACGCGTGCTCAAAATCCTGAGAGGAGAAGGGATTATGGTGTGGTCATCCACCCTGGGAGGTGATTTCTCTCTTTCTATCTCTGTCTCTCTGGTGCGTGCATGCACCTTATAGTAAAAAATCTCTCTTAAAACAATAGCAGCAACAGCAAAGAACTTGCTTTCATAGCCAGATGCAGGCCCTCACTGACTTTCCTCTCTTAATAAAAGGGCCTGTGTTTACAATAATCCTGCCCACCACACATGGAAGAGGGCGGAACTCAGTAAAAAATCTGTGCAAGAGAAATTTTTTATTCATTCTTATTTCCTTAAAGATAATGTATGTTTCTTGTTTCCCGGGTGCTTTAATGTTTTCTGTGTTTTAATTTTCAGTAAGTTGACTGCACTGTACTTATGTGTCGTTTACATTTTATTTTCCTCAGGGGGTTTGTAAAACTTAGGGAATTGAAAAATTACTATCTTTTTTCAGATTTGCAAAATATTCAGCTATTTTTTTCAGTGATTGCTTTTCCCCCATTCCTTTTATTTTCTCTTTCTAGAACTCCAACTACTTATGGTTTTAACCTTTTAGTTATTTTCTACAATGTCTCACACTCTGCTTTGGTCTTTCTGTTCTTTATTTTTCTCTATGGTTCAATTTGGATATTTTCAAATAATGCATCTTTAAATGTATTAATCTTCTCTTCTAGCTTTTTATTCAACTGTTAAACTCATCAACAGATTAGTGTAACGGGTGCTATATTTTTAGTTCTAAAGTTTTTATTTGATCCTTTACATAATTTCAATTTTTCTGCTGGAATACACAAAAGGGATAAAAATGTAATAAGTACTTTCTATTTTTACCTATTTTTGCTCATTATTGCCTCTATAGGCCTTAGCATGGTAATCTCAGCAATTTTAAAATTCTTGTCTACCTACTCCTAGTGTATAGATCATCCATTGATCATCTACTGATTTTTAACTCTTAAATATTGGTATTTTTGTCCTTCCTGCCTATCTAATAACATTTATTGTGTGTGTTCAGACTGAAAGTTTGTATGTCCCCAAATTCACATGTTAAAAGCATAAAGCATAATATGACTATACTTAGAAATAATATCTTTACAAAAGCAATTAAGGTGAAATAAAGTTATAAGGATAATATACAGATAGTTTTGTATTAATGTCCTTGTAAAGAGAGACACCAGGGGCCAGCAGGTGGCATGCAGATTGAGGTGCTGGACTGTCTAATGGCCTACTGTGGTCTGAACCCTGGACCTGGTAGCCTGAAAATCATGCCAGGTGTGTGTGCATGTGTTGCCCCAAATCCTGAGAGGATAATGGAGAAAGAATTGTGGTGTGGTTATTCCCCTTAGGGGTGATGTCTCACTTTCCCTTTCTCTGTCTCTGTTTGCCTCTCTCTGGTGAGTGCACATACCCTATGGCAAAAGTTTAATTAAAAAAAAAAATGAGAGAGAAAGACACCAGAAAAATCGCTTTTTCTCTCTAAGCACTCACAAAGAAGAGGTCATGTGAGTATGAGAATACAGTAAGATGGCAGCCATCTACAAGGTAAGAGAAGGGGCCTCAGGATGAATTCTGCTTTGCTGACACCTTGATCTTGGACTTCTTAGCCTCCAGAACTGTGAGAAATAAATATCTGTTCTCTGCCCATTCCAGCATATCTTGTTACGGCAGCTAGAGCAGACCGATATGGTATGCTCAACATGACAGATGATAGTTGTAGAGGCTCTGGATTATGTTATCTTTTTCTAGAGTATTGAATTTCACTTTATCAGGTAGTTCACTTACTGGTGGGTCAGATCGTTCCTGTCAAGATCTCATGTTAGTCTTTGTTGTAGATGGGGAGATGGATTTTAAGTTCACTCTTTTTTTTTTTTTTTTTCTAGATGATAGCCTTTATTCCCAAGGCACAGTCCTCACTCATAGGATATGGTCTTTTCGAGGCCTCAATTAAAAGTCCATAATGTTCACAAAAAAAAAAAAAATCACGGGTTTGGGTTTCACTTTCATGGATGAGGGCTCTTATAATGTACCTAGGGAGAAACTTTGGGTGAATCTGGGGCTAAACTCAAATACATACTCTTTATCAGAATTTGCAGCCCTGCCTTGGTTATATTCCAGTTCTTACAAACATCTATTTTACATGTTTCGGTTAGCTTTTCTAGTTGTGCCCAGTTTATGATTGGCAAGTGTAATCATCGCTGAAATCAGACTTGTCTTTGTCTAATATCTAACTAAGTAAACAATAGCAATGAAACATTCACCATAAGGCAAAAAAGAATTGCTAGTTGCAACAAAGTAAGAAAAAGGGTAGAATTTCTTGCCATGAAACTTCAAAATGAATCTTCTAAGGAAATAAAAGATTATGATATAGATAGCTTTAGCTTCCCCAGAAGCAATATCAATGAGTCACCAAATCCTGAGTATCTTTCTTATCAACTAAAACTATCTCCAGATTTGGAGTGAAATGCACTGAACAACTATCCTTATCCTTTCAGATGAGAAGAGGGGACAGAGTGAATAATTATAATAGAAATGGCTTAGAGAGAAGAGAGGGCTCCAAGAATGAATGGATGAAGAAGTCTTAGACTGAGGGGATCTTTGGAACAGTATCTAATCCTGGCTACCTGCACTAAATTCTGGAACAAGGGTTTTGGGAAAAACAAAACAAAACAAAACAGGAAAAAAGGAAAGTCTGTAACCTTTTACAGAGACTGCACAGAGATCCAAATGACCTTTCCTCTCTCCTTTATCATCTCATGAAGGCAGAAAGATGCAATACTCACCTGGAAACCATTGCTTCATAGGGAAAACAGATTATATAAGAGTAGTGCCAAGTAGAACTCCCTCAATATGTATCATAGTAAATATGGTTTCCAATTTTTAAAAAGAAACGATATAATAAATATAAAAATACAGTATTTGGAAAAAAGGAGGCAGGGATAATTGTAAGGAAAAGTAAGCTGAAAGCAATAAATTAGTAATGACAAGGAAAGAAAGAAGCAGATATTCTCAATTATGCAGTATAGCACCTGCAAGACCTTGAAAACACTGTTTAGTGAAGAACTGCTATAAATGGGACCTGTCTTGGGCTCTCTTCAATAACTCCTATTAGATAAATTGGTAAATTGGGAGTTCTAACTCGAGTCTCTGTAAATAGATAGTTTCATTAAATTCTGCCCTGAAGATAAGTTTTGCTGGGGGAAAATGTAACCAGTGAAACCGAAATATATGAATGTGACAAAATTCCATGTAATTGGAATTCTATAAATTTCTGTATAATCTACCTGGGCAATTCTTTTTGCAGCCCAGGCTCCAAAGATCTTTTGCATGCTGAGATGTGGAACTCCTTTTCTCTTTCCCAGGCCTGATTTTAAACCTCAGACCCATATGTTCAGTCTCTTACTGAATAGCCTATTTCAGATGCAGCTTCTAAAAAATTCATTCCCATAGCACCAGTGTGTGTCCTGGTGGTTAAGGCAGCTGGATTTCACATGGCTGACTGCACTTGAAAATCACACCAGGCATGTGTTCCACGCATGCCAGAGTCCCCAAAAGAGGGAGAGATGAAGAAGGGATTGCAGTGTGCCCATGCCCCATGTTGGGGGGGTTACTTTCTTGTCCCCCTATCCTCACCGCCACCCCTGTTCTTCTCTAAGAAATGCATACATCTTCTGGCACATTAAAAACAAATGAACAAAAAATTCAAATGTATCCTGTCACGATTTGTTCCTTTTCTTTATTCATTCAATAACTATTTCTTAAATGCCCACTCTGTGTCAGGCACCGCGGTACACGCTGGGCCTACAGACACATGGGATACGTTCCTGACGTTGTGGAGATCCCAGGTTGAGTGGGGAAGGCTGAAAAATAGAAATGATAGATTAAAGGGTGCTGTGGGACATGGGTGTCTCATCCAGGTCGGGGGAGGGGATAGAGTCGTGATCAGGAAACGGTGTTTGAAGAGGATATGGTGTTGGACTTTTCTCAAAGAATTACCAAGACAGCTCCTGCTCAGTTAAGTGGCTCCTGCTTCCGCACACACCTAGCTACTCCATTCAGCTTGACCCACGACTCCCAGCACCAGAAGCTTTACAGTCACAGGGGCCTGGAAACTGCCTCTGTTGTGACAGGGGCCTGGAAACTGCCTTTGTGGTGACCACCTTTCTATCTACCACATTATGAAATGGCTTTTAGCCTTGGCCCTTGTCTGCTCTATATTTCACTGTTTTTCTGGAGGCCACCTGGTGTAAATGCCCAGGTTTGAAAAGGAAGGGGGGGAATAAAAAAACAGCATGAGAAATTTCATGTTTATAGTCCTCGTGAAATCATCTAACTTCTCTGGAGCTCACCTCCTCATCTGTGAAAGGGTAGTAATTATAATTCTAATGCTTGTCTCCAGAGAGGGTGTAACTACGAAATGAATGAGGGACATGAAAGCAGGTCTGGCACAGCGTGGGTATGACTCCAGTGCAAACCTTTATAGAGAAATGCTGATCTTGTAAGGCAGATGCGGAGCTCTGGCACTTTCTCAGATACAGGATACAAAAATGAATTGCCATGCAGTTCAGTTGCTATGTCTTTCCTAGCATCTCTCGGTTTCCAATTCGGCTTGAATTTCATTCTAGCGATTTACTAGTCTTGGATAGGTACCTTCTCCTTTGGCTTCCTCTTGGGAATCATGGGGACAATTAAACGTACTTCAAAGGGTCATTCATTGCAAGGAAACACCATGCCGTGATGCTTTCATACATAAGGTTTTACTCAAAGAAGCTGCACTTCTGTGAGAGCCTAGAGGCCAGGACCTGGCAAAAGAAGAGAAGCGGGTCTTGGGCACAGACCTCCAAGGCCGGAATTTTCAGCCTCTCAAGCCTGGAGGCAGCTCCGGGCGGAGTCCGCCCTCTTCCCCAGTAGGGGGCGCTGAAGCGCCGCACTGCAGCATCCTGGCGGCGGAGCGCAGGCGGCCTCGGCCAGGCTGAGCTCGCGTCCTGCCGCAGTCCCTCCGCCGCTAGTTGGAGCGAGCGCGAGTGAGGAGACCCCTGCCAGGCCACCCGCCCTTGCATCCTCTGCAGCTCCTACTCGCGATCTCAGCCCCCTAGCTCCAAAACGCAGCCTGCAGCCTAGGCTGCGCTGCGTGGGAGGGCTTCGTGGTCTCCGGGGACGATCCCGAACTTGCAGGGGACCTCGGCTTCCCCGGCCTGGAGAGTGAACAGGTGAGTGTCACGCACGTGTCCAGGTGGCTCTTCTGGGTTGCTCCCTTCAGGGCCATTCCAGTCCCTGAGCGCTCGGCCTCTGAGGCAGTCGTCCTGGTCACTGGGTGCTCCCAGGACATCTTTGGGGTTTCCTGAGAGACAGAGCTGAACCCAGCACCCGGGCTTAACAGCACTCTGAGCTGAGACTCAATACCCTGCTGACTTGAGCTGCATTTTACTCCCTCGGTTAACGCAAATGGCCTGCAGTCCTCACTGGGCTTGTTTACCATTGCAAGTACCTGTTGGTCTGAGAGCACACCTACAGCGGTGGTGGTGGTGGTGGGGGCTTCACAGATGGCCTCCTTGCAGTGGGTGCTGCCTCCTGTGATAAGATGAAGAGGAGCTCCTGGTAAGGAGACCAGGAAAACTTAACTTCAGAGCCAGAGAAGAGGTGGTCTGAAGAGAAAAGGGAATCTCATTCCCATGCCTGGGCTAGGTCCTTTGCTTCCCTAAAGGACTGCACTTTGTTTTAATGAGACCATAACAACCGAAGTTAGAAAACCGATTACCACATTGAGATGCTTTCTCCCCCCACAAACACACCCCAAGAGAAAGTAGAGAGCATGACCTTTGGTAACTGCTGTCTTAGGAATGATGTATTAGGAACAAAACCTGGTTATTAATAAATAAATAAGGTTATGAGTGATCTAAACATCACAGGTCTGAGAGAGTAAGCTCGGAGCAGCTGCTATTGCTTGTACATGGTTAACGTGTGTGGAATGAATAAATGGACACATTAATAGTGACACGGGTTTTGGAGGCTTTTTTCTTCTTTCTAAATTTTCCTTTAATTACTTTGTTTAGAAAGAAAAAAAAAAACCACTATGCTTCTAATTCCCTAATTATTTAGGTGTGACTTCACCTTTAGGGGTGATGGGAACTAGGAAGAGTTTGTCCGGATAAACCACTGTCCACATGAAAAGTGAATGGACAGCTTCTAGTCCGAGTCAGAATATTTCTACACGACCAAAGTAGGACACGTGAGTTTTCTAAGATCCATGTTATGAAGATCACAGATTATGAAGTATTTAGAACATCAGAAACCTGGCATTTAGTTACTTATTACAATAATTTATGCATTTATTGTTTTCTCTCTTGTCAAATGTAACTTTTCGCATGTCGAATTTATGTCAGTTTTGTGTCTTCCTTTAAATGATTTTTTTTAAAAAAATTAACAGTTGACAATAACCAGCTGTATCTTTATTAGGTTGTAAATGGAAAAAAATAACCCTTTCTTTTGTAAAAATAATCTCTCTCTTCCGTGCAGTTCCTATGTCTCTGTGGCCATTTGGGAGTTGCTGAAATATTTGTCTTTTTATTTTTTTTTTAATTACTCTGGATGGCTGTTTTATAAAGCCTTCATCAGACAGATAATTCTTAGATCTGATATACATAAGAATGAGCAGTTTTGCATGAAATAGCAAATTGTTTAAATAAGTTTCAGACATTGCATGCATGTTATGTTTTAAAGAGATACTTGCCAGCAAGCGTTTACCATTTAGAACTCATGTCGTTCGTTTATCTCGATCTATTGTGCTTCTGTGATGAAACGCTGGGCCTTAAACATGGGGGGGGGCTCTTCTTAATGAATCAATATAAAATGACAAATAATAAAATCCTTTTATCTTTAGCCAAAAGTATGGGACTGGACAAATAACAGATGTGTAAACTTCTGGTTTTTGTACTATTAATGATTACTAAGATGTTTTTCATTATAGAGGATGAAGTAAAAATGCCTAATGTTAACGTTGACCTTTTCGTTCTCCTGTGTAAGCACTGGCACTTTGGAGATGGCAGAAACCAACACTGTTAGGTACAGGGTGATGGCTTAAATGCACATTGAAGAAAACGATTCCATGTTAATGTCTTTGTAGAAATACTTTTTCAGAAGGAAATTCATTTTTCTCTTGGGAAGATCTTTTCCAAAATTTGTTGACAAAAAAGTCATGGCAGAGCAGTTAACAAGTTTAGATAATAGATTTACATTTAAAAAATATCTTTACAGACTGGAAAAGTGGATGAATTATGAAGACCCACGTGATTAAGTTGAACACGGGCAAAAGTGAAGTCAAGCCCTGTATTGAGGTTTAAACCACTGATTGTAGAAATTCAGAACAGGGGACCTGCAGTGCACATACAAGATGTGAGCCTTCACGCCAGTGGCTATGCCATGATGAAGCCAGTGTGCAGATAAAGGGCAGTGAAAATCCCAGGGACAATGTTTATGAGGCCTCATCTCAAGTAGTGAATGCAGAGGACATCACATTTGAGGAGTGATTAAAGTAGCGAGTGCCAAAGGAGAGTACCATAAATGATGAAAAGGAAAAGTAGGATAAAAAAAATACATAAATGATAATGTACATCCCATGAAGAACAAATGAACCTACTTGGCCTCATTTTTCTAGAAAGTAGAAGCTCGAAAAGGGCAAAGATTCCTAATGGACCCTAGGCTACTTGACGTGTTCTGAGCAAACCAAGATTTGACTTGTTTTGCATTATTTCATAGAGAAAAGCCAGGAATGATGTGTAGAAGTCATGGGAAAATAGATTACAGATCAATGTAAGAAAGGTCTTTCTACTAATTAGATGTGACTGACTAGAAATGAAAGAGCTTTCAGAGATAATGAACCCACCTCCCATACCTGGCTGTGATAAATCGGGCAAAGGACGTCTGGTCCACAGCAAAGATTTTTGCAATGGCTAATGGATTCTTTTGGTTGACATCTCTCTCCTCCAAAGCTCTTCCTAATTTTACATTTCTAGTGTCTGAGAACTTAGATGTTGTTCCTGAGTGTCCAACCTATATGAAATATTTTTACATTGTATATAATGTGGCTTCCCAAGTGCTAGGGAAACTGTAAACATGCTTCTTGAAGTTGTTATAGAAAAGGAATCTGAACTTGGAGCTTTTATCTGGGCTTTACATTTTATCTGGATTTCTGGAAAATGAATATCTGCCACCTGACTTGATCATGTGGTTTAGTGCGCACTGAGATCAAACTTGATGCTGAAATGCAAAATTTCACTGGGTGCGTGAAGTTGACGAATATGAATGTTCGTATTCCATCCAAAGGGAAATTAAGAGACTCCAAAGTGACTCTGGCCATTGCACACGTTTGTACATGGTGTTTGTACAGAGGCTAACTACATGGATCCACGTACTTCGAGGATTCGTTGTTAATTATTGCCAAGAACAATGCCTTCATTAAAAAGTCTGTTGAAAACAAACTGTAATAAATGCTATCATATGTGAAAATACATGCTTTAGAACCAGACAGGCCTAAATTTAATTCCCGGAGCTACTGTTTGTTAGTCATATAACTTACAGCAAATTATAATAGACCTCTTACAGGAGAGTGGCGAAGGTCAAATAAGAAAGTGCTGATCAAGTGGTTGCAGCTGACCTATGGTAGATGCTTACTATTAATGAATGAACAATTACTAATTAATCAGTGCTTAATTAAATATTAATTTCTTTCCCAGTCACTTATGCACACGCAAATCTCTTTTGTTTAAGGATTGTGGACGCTTCCAAGATTTACAATGATATGGTGAATCCAAAGGCTGAAACCAAAAAAGATTGACTCAGCATTTTAGTTTTCACAGCAATCAATCATCTACCAACACCCATCATGGCTAAAAGTGCAGAGGTCAAACTGGCAGTATTTGGGAGAGCAGGCGTGGGCAAGTCGGGTAAGATTTTTGTGGTGGCAATTGTAGTGTGTGTGTGTCTTTGTTACTGTCTCTTGGGATTAGGCAGGTGGGTGGTTGGCATTTCTGATATTCTCATTCGTTGCTTTTGAAGATGAGTCCTTCCCTTTATCTAGAACTCTCATTTTGCATAGCCAGCTGTTATGTAGCCTCTCGCTTATTATGATAAAGTGGTTTGGCTGATAACAGACAAGGCAATGGGTATATCATAGGCCTTGGTATTCTGAGAAAGTATATTAAGCAACCTCCAGAGAAATCAGATTGTGGAAATTAAAAATATATATTTGCTCTTTTATTCCCTATATGAAATCCTGAGGGGCTGATTTTATATCTTATTTGTTTTGATATTCTCAACAAACTGTTCAAAGTCAAGCCTGCATTGGGTGCCTAATGGATTCTGGTTGAATAAATACGTCTGTCAGAAACAGAACCGCATTATTGTCCAACGCTTCTAAAATCAGGGAAGGATTCTGCAAAATTTAGGAGCACATGCCCTCAAGCAAACCAGCGACTACCAGTGTCTCTATGGTGACTTTAAATGAGCAAATTCTGGCTAACATCAGTAATTCATAGACTTTCTTTTTCCCCACCTGAGGTGTGCAGACCTTTAGGATTAATGGTGAAACAGTAGAAAATGTACCTTATATCAATTTGAATATAGTTTAGATTTTTATCATTAATGAATGCTAACATAGGTGTTGCTAAGATATCAGGGCAACATGGCTTTTCAGATAATATTGTCTTTTTCTTTTATCGGAGGAAAGAATTGTAATTGACTGCACCCAGAGCTTTTGGTTCTTAAGAAAGGACTTCAACAGATATTTAGTGGATATGTGTTTGTAGAGGGGCCACTCACTTGGAAATAAACTAGATAATTCAGTACAACAGGTAACCCACATAATCGTTTTTTTTAAGAATTATTTGTTTTGATTTTATTTATTATTTTTAATTAGGCTAGCAAGAGAGAGAGGGAAAGTGAGGAAGCAAGCCACAGGTTTGAGACTTGAACTGCGGTCACCTATGTGGGAGTCCAGTGCTAACCCCCATGGCATCAGCCGATCTCCCACATAATCTTCAACACACATAAGCACCTTTCAACTCTATGACCAGCCTCTCTCTTTCCTAATCTACTCTTCGGCTTAATGACAGCAGTAATCTTTCCTATTCTGCCTTTTTCTTGTCTTCATTTTTGCCAGCATTTTTTTCTCTGACTTGCCATTTGCTCTTGCCTCTGGCAGAAACCAAAGGAGGAAAATAGATAGTTGGCAAGGCTGAGAAACTGTCAGCCTTCACTCAAGTGAAGACAGTTAAACTCCTCCCCAGTTAATCTTCTCAGGGTTTCCTAATGGCGTGAGAACCCCATTTCTGTAGCTGGTAGAAGGAGCTGCAGAATGAGGAAATAGTTCCAGTGCTGAAGATGAAGGGGAGGGAGTGTGTGAACAGGCCTGAGCTGCCAACAATAGCTTGCCTAAGTCCTGGGAGTGAAGGGTCTAGGCCTAGGGGCTGGCTGTCTATGATTCATTCATTCCAAACTGATGGAAGGCAATAAAAGAGGCAATTTGAAAACAAATCTTATTCATTAAAATAAACTCCACATGGTTTTAAAGGCTAAATATCGAAATAAAAATTCAGCTGAGAAAAACACTTAGCTGTCTGTATCCATTTTCACTTTCTCAGAGTAAGTCGAGAACTTCCCATCAGTCTGAGCTTTGATCCCAGTTTCTGTCATCTTCCCCCAAGTTGTTTCAGTTCTTCTTTCAGTTATTTTTCTCATTCTCTCTTGACTGTTTTTCCCTAAGTGTTTCTCTGACTACTGCTCCATCTTTTTCTTTTCTTCAGACTTACTGAATATGGGCTTTATGTCTACTGTCTTTGAAGTCCCCCACTCATTGCATGCAGCGTGGCTGTCTTCCATCCAACCATCCCATTGAACCATGCAGTTGAAACTGCTCTTGCTGAGACCATCACTGGTCAATAGCCATTAAATCTCCTGAGCATTTTCTGATTCTGATCTTATGCCTCCTTTCACACCCAATGTCATGTCTTATTCATTTCCTAAAATTTCTTTCTCCCCTGGGTCCCGAGATATCTCACTCCTTGGTGTTCCTGTTCCCCCCTCATTGCTCCTACTAAGTAGCCTTCATGGGCTGAGTTCCGTCTCCATACTACCCTCTTGTCTTCCCAATCCAGACTCTTCTCCAAGGGCTGATGTCTCACACTCGGAGCTGGCAATAACACCTGTACGTGGAAAACACGTTCTACTGACCTAAGTTTTGTTTCATGTAAAGTGCAGAGGCTGAAATTGCTCACTAAGCCTTTTCCAACTCTCAAATCCTAGGATTCTTGATTAACCAATCTTCCTGGGAGTCATTTCTCCATCCACCCTCATATACATTTCACCATTTGTATTTGTTTTCATTCGGATGAAAGTGACAGACGACATGCCTTGACATTAGACTATTTTTATGAGACCTGTAACCGCACCTCATATTTAAAATGTAGTGCTGGTTTGACTGATGCTTCTGGAAGACAATTCTGAGATCTTTTTCGTAGCTCAGTGAAAACAACCACAAATTACTTCCTATCTATCAATTTTGAAAATAGACTGCAACAATACTTAATTAATTTGTTCCATGAGTCAGACAGGGAGACAGTAAGCCCACCAGGGTCCTGACACCACAATCCACCTCCAGCTTCAGCTAGCCCTGAATCATAGGCACGGGTGGTGCCCAGCATGCTCAGGGAGGTTTCTGGATGCAAACCCAGAACACTCCCATCTGGATCCACCTTGCAGAGTGTCACATTTTACCCCTGAGCCACTGTCTAGCCTCCAGACTGTAGCGATGTTAAATGTATGTTTAATCTAATTTCTTATCATCATATGTGGCTATATGAAGGGCGTGTCTACTCGTACCATTTCTTCCCCCTTTGTAGGATAGAGACTACAAAAATCTTATAAGTAACATTTGCTTTCTTCAGTTTGCAAGAAATTACAGCTGCTGGAATATAACTGCAACTGCTCACTTATTCAAATGCCTCCCCAGACTGGCATGGTCTTCCAGTTTCCTAAGACCCAGCAGGGAAAGCACCCCTTAGGGAACCAGCTTCAGCTCTTGGGAGGGCTTAAACTGAACATCTCTGACTGGACCTGGGTTTCTGTGAGTGCTTCAGAGAATTCAAGCTTAGCTTGTCCCTTCCGCTTTTCCCCATACTCAGTACCAGTTTGGAACTGAAGGCGAATAAGACCTAGTGCCCATTTTCTAATAATGAGTAGGACAACTTGGAGTCAAGAGCATGCGCTGGGATCATGCCATGCCGTTCGACTCTCAGTTCTTCCCTTTCATAACTGTGCCAATTCGGCGACTTAGGCAAGTTACTTAAGTTCTCCATTTCTCCAATTCAGATAAACACAGAATACTGCTTATCTCAGTGAGATGAAATGAATTATTACATGCACATATTTAAATTAATTTTCTTTTTTTCCCCCAAAATAGTATGTATTTCTTTCCTCCATGAGCAAGTGAGACGGAGAGGAAGAGAGGTACATGAGGGGGTGTCCCCACACTGCAGTCTCCCTACAGCCCTGGCCAGCCCAAGGTCATGGACATGCGGTGCCTTCTGTGCTCAGGCAGGTCTCTGGATATGAACTCAGAACCTTTCTATGTCGTTCAGCCTCCCAGAGCATGGCATTATGCCGTGTCACTGTCTGGTCTCCACATGCAAGTATTTTGGAACAGCATTTGTTACATAACCAATGCTCAACTATGGGCTTATATTATAATTTTTCAAGTGTGCTTATTTTAGTTCGTAAGTTCTCTAGTAAAGAAATACAAGGGGGCTTCGAAAAGTTCCTGGAACAATGGAATTAAAACATGAGTTTACTTTGGTATATCTGTTTATAATTTTTTCATAATACACATTTGTTAGGAACTTTGAGGACCTCTCTTACAAAGATAGAAAGTTTATAGGACAAAGACTCTTTATCCCTCCTCAGTGTACCCTCACACACAATACCTCCACATACTTTTTCTGTTTTTTTTTTTTTTTTTCCTTCCCCTCTTTCTTGAATCCAGAGTCTGGCCAGTGTCAATTAAAATGAGGATCATAACATTACGCTTGGTAACTTCTAGTAAATCTTGTGAAAGTGGCCAGAAATAAGTTACGGTCATCAATAAATTAACACTCTTAAATTTAAAAGTGCTTGTGGCACATGGTAGATGGTGTCCCAAGCCCAGGTAGTGGATTAAACCCTCTGTTTAAAACTGAATTTAGCATTTACCAGAACTTTCTGCATGACAGTTTGACCATAGAAGTATCAACAGAGGCAAAATGTAATAATGTGCTCATTACTGAGGAGCCTTGATGCAAAGGTATGAGAGGTAGGGGTGTGTGGGGGTGTGCACATGCATTTCCCTGGCACTATTTATAGGGTCTGCTCTGTTGAGGATTCTGCTCCCTTTTGCCTATTTTTCTTTACAGTCTGTCTTTTTTTTTTTTATTATTTAGAGAGGTTTTCGCTATAGGGTGCGTGCACTCGCCAGACAGACAGAGAGAGACAGAGACAGAAAGCAAGAAATCACCCATCGGGGGGGATGGCCACACCGCAATCCCTTCTCCTCCATTCTCCTCTCAGGATCTTGGGCATGCACGCACACGCACCCGGCGTGAGTTTTAAGCCACCAGGTCTGGGATGCGAATCATGGTCGACTACGTGGGAGTCCAGCGACATAGCCATTATGCTAACTGCTGGTTCCCTTTACAGTCTGTCTTTTTTTTTTTTATTATTTAGAGAGGTTTTCGCTATAGGGTGCGTGCACTCGCCAGACAGACAGAGAGAGACAGAGACAGAAAGCAAGAAATCACCCATCGGGGGGGATGGCCACACCGCAATCCCTTCTCCTCCATTCTCCTCTCAGGATCTTGGGCATGCACGCACACGCACCCGGCGTGAGTTTTAAGCCACCAGGTCTGGGATGCGAATC